ATCTATATATTTGTGTTGATAAGCCTGAGTGGTCTGTTGACTGACCTTTGTATTTGTTCAAATAATAGTTATGGTCAGGTTACAATATAAAAATGTTTATATAATGTTTGTATTTAATTTAGTTATGTTAGTTATGATAGTTTAGTTATGATGTAAATACAATAAAAATTAGACCAAGATTTATAATAATAATCATTTTGATCCATTCGTAATGTCTGACTGGTCCTCTGACACTTTATGTTCAGTAAACTGGGCCCYGAGGTGAAAAAGGTTCAGAAGCTCTGGTTTAGAGCCAAACACAGCAGGAGAGTTGTTTCCTGGAGGCGTCACTTCATCTTTCATTCTTCTTTTCTTCTGTTTCAGACACAGAAGCAGGAGGACTCCATAGTCAGGCTACAATCAGAGCTGGATCAGACCAACGAGGAGCTGGACCGACTCAACAGCTCTCACTTAGAGGAGCGGGCCCAGCTCATCCATGACCTTCAGAGCCGTGAGCGTGAGCTGGATGTTCTGAAGGAGACCCTGCTGGAGAAAGACAAGGAGATCCTGAGTCTGACTGGGAACATGTCTGAGTACACAGAGCAGCTCTCGCTCCTCACGCAGGAGCTCAGACTGAAGGAGGAGGCTCTGATCCAGCTGGAAGAAGCTCTGAGGAGGKCTGAGCAGAACACCCTGGTCTGCAGAGACTCTCAGGACTCAGAGCTGGCTGAGAAGCTGCTCCACACCGAGCTGGAGCTGCAGCAGGCTCAAACACAGAGCCAGGCTAAAGCAGCCGAGCTGGAGCAGCTGATGAAACAAGCTGAAGAGCTCCAGAAGGAGAGCTCAGATCATCGTAAACATCTGTCTGAATGTGGACCCCACATCTCCTCTCTGAAGGAACAGCTGGCTGCTGCTGCTCACAAGCTTCAGGAGTCAGAGGGTCTGCTGCTCAACCAGAAACTACATTATGAGAAGGAGCTGAAAGCCTTCAAGGAGGAGCAGAACAAGCTGCAGAAATACAACGAGGACATGAAGGAGGAGCTGGATGCTGCAGCATCACTCAAACACCAGCTGCAGGCAGCAGAGCAGAAGTTCAACCAGGAGCTGGAAGCTGGAGACTCAGAGAAGCAGCAGCTGCTCAGAGAGATTCAGAGCAGGTCAGAGAGCATCTCCACCCTGCAGCAGCTCCTGAAGAGCTCAGAGTCTGAGGAGCAGCGTCTGCAAACAAGACTGCAAGAACTGAAGGAGGAGCTGGAGCTGCAGAGACGTCAGGAGGAGCAGCTCAGTGACAAGCTGACATCTGCTCTGCAGCTGAACATCCAGCTGCAGGAGCAGCTCCACGTCCTCACACAGCAGAGAGACAAAGATCAGCTGGAGCTCACAGAAAGGCTCCGAAACATCTCAGAGCTGTCAGCTCAGGTCCAAGATCTACACACAAAAATATCTGTTCTGGAGTCACAGCTGTCTGAGAAGAACCAAAGCATCGAAGACCTGCAGAAAGAGAGAGAAGATCTGAAGGAAATCATTGAGCAGAGCGTGATCTCCAGCTCTGAGAGCCTGCTGCAGAGAACCAATGAATGTTCTGATCTCCAGCAGCTCCTCAGGGACAGAGAGGAGGAGCTGAGCAGCTTGAAGTGTCAGGTGGAGCAGCTGCAGCTGGACGGGGCAGAAAAACAGCGGACCTCTGAAGACCTCCAGGCTAGAGTAGAAGCCCACGTCCATCAGCAAACGCAGCTTACAGAGCAGCTGTCTGTGCTGCAGGAGACAGAAGCCAGGCTGCAGTCTGAGCTGCTGGACCAACAGCTCATGTTGAAGCAAAGAGAAGAAGAAGTCACAGCTGAGCTTCAGAGCAGAGCTGAAGAAGTGTCAGAGCTCAGGCAGCAGCTCACAGAGACAGCAGCAACGTGTGGACTGTACAAAGATGAGCTGAACGACAGGAACCAGGCCCTGAAGAGTCTGAACCATCAGCTCACAGCTCTGACAGAGAGCTGCAGGAGCTCTGAGGTCCAGGTCCAGGACACAAACACTCAGCTGGATCAGTTAAAGTCCAACCTGCAGGTTCTGACAGAGGAGAACCAACAGCTGCACCTCAGCTGTGAGGCTAAACACAAAGAGCTGTGTCACAGAGAACAAACTGTGTCCCAGCTTACTGAGCAGCTCAGAGCATCTGTGGAGCAGAACTCCTCCCTGAGCAGAGACATCAGTGCTCTGAGCTCACAGAACCACAGATTACAGGAAGAACTGTGTGACCTGACAGCTGAGAGACACTCACTGCAACAACAAGCCTCAGACGGTCAGAGGAGTCTGGAGGAGCTGCAGAAGGTTCTGCAGGAGCGAGAAGAGTCCAGCTCTGCAGCTCTGCTTCAGAAGACCGAGGAGTGTGCTGATGTGTGGAGAAGCCTGAGGCAGAGGGAGCAGCAGCTGCAGGATCAGCAGGACACCGTGTCCACGCTGCAGGAGCAGGGCTCTGTTCTGAAGGCCGCTCTGATGGACAAGGACTCCATGCTCCAGCAGAGAGCAGAGSAGTGTGGTGTCCATGTGCAGCAGCTCCTGCTGCAGGAAGAACTCGTCACAAAGCTGCAAGCTGAGGCCCAGCTGCTGAGAACCACTGTAGAACAAACACAACAGTCACATGCAGAGCTTCAGAGTCGCTCCTCSTCCACGGTGGAAACCCTCACGTCTCATCTGCAGGACACAAAGGCAGAGTGTGAAAGCCTGAAAGAAAAGCTTTCACACCTGGAGGAGTCCGTGTCGAAGCTCAGCAGCTCCCTCCAGGAGCAGCTCTGTGAGRTGGACAGGCTCAGGAAGGCCCTGCAGGACAAAGAGGCGGAGCTTCTGCAGCAGTCCAAGTCTTTGCAGAGCCGAGCAGACGAGGCGTCGCTGCTTAAAGCTCAGCTCGTGGACAGCACCCAGCTGGTTGGTCAGCTGCAGAGTCAGCTGCAGAGCCTCAGCAGGTCAGCAGACGACACACAGAGTGCCTTCAGCAACCTGCAGGACAGGTACGCTGCTCACCTGGAGGAGCTCCAGGCTGTGCGACAGCAGCTGTGTGTGCAGACTGAGGAGCTGTCCTCCCTGCAGTCACAGTTATCACAGCAGCAGGAGGCACAAAGCCTGACTGAAACCCTGAGACTGCAGCTGTCTGCAGTCAGGGAGCAGCTGCAGGACAACAAGGTCWCACAGTCCCGTCTGTCACAGGAGAAGGACCAGGCTTTAGCTTCTCATCAAGCCAGTGTGGCTCAGCTGACCGTGGAGATAGACAGGCTCAAATCCCAGCATGCTCAGGTGCTGACACACATGAAGGCTCTGACAGAGAACCTGGAGCAGAGAGAGATGGCTCTCCATGCCATCAACAATCAGTACTCCTGTCAGGCCCAGCAGACCTCCCAGCTGCTGTCAGAGCTGCACACCCTGCAGGAGCACAACACCAGTCTGAGYCAGCAGCTGCGCCTGTCTGAGGAGCACAACACACGCCTACAGGGAGAGGTACGAAGGCTGACGGCRGAGAAGGAGGAGCAGATGGAGAGAAGCCAGAGGGACAAGCAGAGCCTCCAATCCAAGGTTAGTGCCAAAGATGCAGAAGTGTGTGAGTTAAAGCAGAGCATTGAGAAGGTAGAGCAGGTCCTGCAGGACTCTGAGARGGAGTGGCTCCTGGTTTTAGACAGGGAGAAGCAGCAGAGGAGTGTCCTCACACAGCAGCTGAGCAGGGTTGAAGCTCAGATGAAGTCTGAARATGGTAAAGTTCATGCTCTGAAACAAGACTTGGACAGTCTGCAGGAGAAACTGGTCCAGGCTCGTGCTGCAGTCACACAGAGCTCTGAACAGCTCAGAGCTACAGAGTCTGAGGCGTCAGCCTCCAGAGTCCAGCTGCACAGGCTCTTAGACTCTGTTCAGGACAAAGACAGCCAGAACCAGAGCCTGCAGCARCTTCTAGCTTCTGTAGAAGAGCAGCTCCTGAAGCTGCTGAGGAACCATGGAGCAGAGAGAGCTGCAGACAGTCTGACTGTGCTGGAGCTGATCACACAGCTAGAAGAAAGCCACCAGGCTGAGCTGAACTCTTTGAAGGAAACTGTGCTGCAGCTGCAGGAAGACCAGGCTCAGGCTGCTCTCCTCCAGGAAGCTGTGGACAGTTTACAGAGTCAGCTTCAAGCTGAAGGAGAGGCTTCAGTGAAGAACCTGTGTCTGCAGGCTGAGCTGAGAGCCAAAGAAGAAGAGCTGAGCTGTCAGAAAGGTCAGCAGGAGGAGCTGCTGTCTGCACTCAGTCAGCAGCTGAAAGACAAAGACTCCTCYGTGGCTCAGCTCCTGGAGGACAGGAACAGTCTGTCTGTGCAGGTAGAGGACCTGGAGCAGAGCTCAGCCAGGACGCTGCAGGAACTCTCACAGGCTCAACAGGAAGTGCAGCGTTTGCAGGGCCAGCTCGCCGTTCTGTCCAAAGACAAAGACACRCTGAGGAAGAAGCTCCAAGCTGCTCTGCTCGTCAGAAAAGACTTGTTGAAACGGATCGAGGACTACGAGAGGCAGGAAGAAGAAAACAACACTTCTGTTCTGGAGGAGCAGCTGAAGGAAGTGAGGAAACAGGCTGAAGCTGCTGCTCACRCTCACACAGAAGCTGTTTGTGTGCTGGAGCAGAAGGTTCTTCAGAGTGAAGCAGAGAGGAAACATGAGGAGGAACATCTGCAGGAACAGATCCTCCTCCTGCAGAGATCGCTGCAGGAGAAAGAAGCACATCTGTGTGAAGCCTTACAGACGCTGGAGGAGAAGAAGCTGCAGCTGCAGCAGCTGCAGTCCACAGCTGTCAGCGCTGAGCAGGACAACAAGAGGCTCCTGCACCAGTTAGACCAGCTTCATGATGAGCTGAAGGACAAATCCAGCTCTGTGGACCTACAGAACCAGCTGACTCACATCAAGGCAGAAAAAGCKACGCTGCAGAAAAAAGTCCAGGCTGCCCTGCTGGCCCGCAAAGACACGCTGAAGAGAGCTGAAGAGGGTGAGAAGAAACTGACTGCAGAGCTGTCCGAGCTCAGAGACCAGCACCAGGCTCTGCAGGACCAGAACCAGGCTCTGCAGGACCAGAACCAGGCTCTGCAGGACCAGCACCAGGCTCTGCAGGACCAGAACCAGGCTCTGCAGGACCAGCACCAGGCTCTGCAGGACCAGCACCAGGCTCTGCAGGACCAGCACCAGCAGCAGAGGAACCAGCTGGACTCTGTCCACTCCCAGCTCAGAGACAAGCTGGAGGAGCTGAGCTCTGTGAGCCGACTCGTCCAGGACCAGGACAGAAGTCTGCAGGACGTGAAGACRTGTCTGCAGTCAGAGCTGCAGAGCGTCCAGTCCAGATGTGAGAGGGTTTCACTTGAACTGGCTGATAAAGAGCAGGCTCTGACAGAGGCTGCAGAGAGAGAAGCTTCTCTGGAAGCTGCTCTGCAGAGGTCCCACAGCGAGCTGCAGACCCAGCTGAACCTCTGTCTGCAGGAACAACGTGTCCTGGAGGAGAGGGATGCTCTGTTGGACCAGTGCAACCAGCTGAAACTCCAGGCTTCAGCTTCACACTCAGATTATTTAGAGCTGCAGAAGACGCTAACTGAAGCACAGCAGCAGCTCAGCAGCAGCAAACAGATGTTAGCTCAGCATCTGGAGGAGACTCAGCTCAAAGCTTCTGCCCAACAGAACCAGTTTGACCTGTTACAGCATGAAAAGGACAGGTCGATCAGTGAGCTCCAAGAGGAGGTCAGCCTCCTGAAAGAGCAGCTAACAGCAGCTGAAACACTCAGTAATGTGCAGGAGGACTGGGCTGAAGCCTCTGACATGAAGCTGAAGCACAGAGAGCAGCTGCAGCTGCAAGCTCCAACACATCATGATGCTCTTCACAACATGAAGACAGAAGCTGAAGTCAAACAGAAGTCTGATCAGGAGAACCACAAACAAGTTCTAACCAGGAAGCTCCAAGCTGCTTTACTGTCCAGGAAGGAGCTCCTGAAGGAGAACTCCTGTCTGAAGGCAGAGCTCACACAGCTGTCCTCTCAACAACAAGCTAAAGAAGCTGAGWGTTCAGCTCTGAGAACATCTGTGCTGCAGCTGGAACAAGACAAGCTGCAGCTGCAGAGCTCCGTGTCGTCTGCTGTGAACCACGCAGAGAAGTTAAACTGTGAGTGTGAGCGCCTCCTGAAGGAGAACCTCAGCCTGTCTGCAGCCTGCGACAGCCTCCAGCTCACCATCCACAGCATCACGCAGCAGAAACAGGCCTTCTCCTGCCAGCTGGACTCTCTGAAGGACTCGCAGGCCGAGGAGCTGTCCAGATGGAAGAGCAGGCACGCTGAGCTGCAGCAGGACTATGAGAACGTCAGCTCTGACAGGGACAGGATGAGGCAGCTTGTAGAAGCAGCTGAGAAGGAGCGTCAGGACTCCCTGAGGACAACACATGAGCTGCAGCTGAGAACACAGGACCATACCATCACAGAGCTCAAGGAGGTCATCACCAAACACCTGCAGGAGAACCAGGATCTGAAGGAGGTCATCACCAAACACCTGCAGGAGAACCAGGATCTGAAGGAGGTCATCACCAAACACCTGCAGGAGAACCAGGATCTGAAGGAGCAGCTGAGGATCCTGGAGGAGGACAGGTCTCTGCTGCAGGAGGAGCTGCAGAACGCTCAGGAGCTGTCAGACAGAGTCAGAGGTGAGAAGGAACATCTGGAAACAGTGATCCTGAAGAACTGTGAGCAGATGGAGGAGCTGACCCAGTCTGTGGACTTCCTGCAGACTCAGGAGACACAGCTGGTAGCTCAGCTGGCAGCCAGCGAGGAGGTGAGGATCAGGATGAGCRGAGACCAGGAGCAGCTAGTGCAGGAGCTGCAGGAGGAACTCAGGAGGGTTCAGAGAGGAAACCAGAGCTCCAGCAACGAGAAGAAGGAGCTGCAGGAGYTGCTGAAAGAGAAACAGCAGGAGGTGAAGCAGCTGCAGCACAGCTGCATCAGGTACCAGGAGGTCATCCTGGACCTGGAGAGCTCTCTGAAGACCTCCCAGGATCTGCAGCAAGSCTTGGAGAAGGAGGAGACACGAGCCCAGGCTGAGGTGCTGATGCTCAGGAGGCTCCTCCAGGAGCTGCAGGACCAGGTCCAGAGCCTGGAGTCTGAACGAGACCAGCTGGTCCTCACAGTGTCCCAGCACAGGACAGAGTCTTCTCCAGCTCAGATGGATGAGCTGAAGGTCCTGAAGGACCAACAGCAGCTGGTGTCTGAGGGTCAGGCAGGCCTGACGGGGGTCTCCACACACAGGGAGGAGGCTCCAGATCCAGGCTTCAAGCAGGAAGTAAAGGAGATGTTCCATCAGATGGACGACCTGAACTCTGAGAACGCCCTGCTCAGAGCCCAGCTGCTGCGCTACAGAGACGACCTGAACCAGGTGCTGTCCCTTAAAGACCACCAGCTGAAGGTGCTGCTCAGCCAGCAGCAGGACCGGATCCAAGACCTGGAGAGCCACAAGGCTGCAGCAGAACAACGCCTCCGACAGGAGGAGGACAGGAAGCTGTCACAGGCTGAGGACACACACAGCACAGACCAGAGGCTGCTGCAGCTCACTAAAGACTTAGAAGAGTCCAGATCCCAGAACAAAGACCTGAAGACTCAGAGTGAGTCTCTGTGCAGGGCCATGGCTGCTCTACAGAACGACAGAGACCAGCTCATCCAGGACTTTAAGACCCTGCAGACCAGATAYGAGCAGGAGCTGCAGCAGAGCCGGGCCGCTCTGCAGGAGGCGCAGCGCAGCCTGCAGGACTCGTCCTCAGACCTGAGTGTCCTCTCTAAGGACAGGGACATACTGGCTCAGAGACTCACAGCTGTCCAGAGCAAAGACCCCCCAGCAGAGCTGAGCAGGCTGCTGGACCAGCTGTCCCAGGAGCTGACCCACAAGGAGCGTGAGCTGACCCAGGTGCTTCTGGAGAACTCCTCCTACAGCCGCCAGCTGTCTGCCTTCTCCAGGTCCATGGCCAGTCTGCAGGACGACCGGGACCACCTCCTGGACCGGCTGGCTGAGTCAAGACAGGGCTCCAGTCCAAAGACCACTCTGACCTCCAACATGAAGGTCAGAGGATCCGTCCAGGACCTCAGAGGTCAGACAGATGGAGCGGTGAGTCCAGTACTCAGCTTCAGYTCTCCACAGCACCAGGCTGATGATGTTCAGGTTTACCACAGGGCCTTGAAATCCTTGAAAGTTTGTGAATTAGAAAAAATGATTTCAAGGCCCTGGAAAGTTTGTRAAAACAGCCAAAGATTACACTTGTCCTTGAAAGTCCTTGAATGTTGTTTTGGGAGATAAACAGTTGTGTTGTYCTTCCAGCAGGAAGTGAGTGATCCTGCAGCTCAGAGCTCACAGGAGGAGAAGATCCAGCTCCACACACATCTACAGATCCAGCAGCTCAGCTCCAAGGTCTGAACCAGCTGAGGGGTCCTGATCTGAACATGTATCATATTTACTTTAGAAAGAAACTGACCCACGTCTCTCCCTGCATGTCCCTCTTCAGCTGCAGCAGGTGGTCCAGGAGAAAGCTGCTGTCGCTGCTCAGCTCAGAGCTGTGTCCCAAACCCTGCAGGACTCCCAGGACCGCTGCCACTGGCTGGAGACTCAGGTCCAGGGCCAGGTACAGGTAACAGGTCCAAGACCCCCACAGATCAGACCAGTCCCACAGATCAGACCAGTCCCACAGATCAGACTGGTCCCACAGAAAACACTGAACTGTTTCATGAAGGTGACTGCAGTTAGATCTGTGCTGCATTTCACTAAGACTGCACAAGAAATCACTAATTTATCACTAGATCAGTGCTCATAGAGCCACTTTGTACCCACCTGTGTTAGGTTAGTTTAACCAACCATTTATGTGTGATTTGATTTGTTAAAGTGCTCTTTAGAGAGGTCAGGATCAGCAGTGTGGACTTGTTAGAGGTCAGGATCAGCAGTGTGGACTTGTTAGAGGTCAGGATCAGCAGTGTGGACTTGTTAGAGGTCAGGATCAGCAGTGTGGACTTGTTAGAGGTCAGGATCAGCAGTGTGGACTTGTCTCTGGTAGTTTATTTTTAAAGACTTTAGTCTGTGTTGGAACAGCTGATGTTTGGGTCAGTGTGTTTCAGTAAAGGACTGTGTACTTCCTGTTCCTCTCCCCTGCTCCAGGGTCCAGTTCATGCTGAAGTGGCTCCAGGGGCTCCACAGGAGAGGAGCAACCAGTCCCTGATGACTGAAGCTGCTGAAGCGGGTCAGCTCAGAGACAGGTGACCCTGTAGGACCAGGTCTYTCAGATCTGCTGACAGTCCTTCAAGGTGTTGAGCTCTTGAACCTGTTTGTGTTGAAGGSTTCTGGAGCTGGAGCTGGTTCTGGCAGATGAAAGAGCGAGGAGAGAAACAGCAGAGGAGGCTCTGCGTCTGGCTGAGGACAGGACAAAGACGTGAGTCGTCCTCAGACTGTTTACATCTCCTGCTGGGAARCACTTCATCCTGTGTTTTTATACCACAGCCTCACTTCCTGTGTGTCCAGAGAGCCTCAGAGGGACTTCAGCATTGACATGGAGACAGAGGAGGAGTGGGAGGCCCTCAGTCTCAACCCCAGTCAGCCTCTAATAACCAGAAAGGTAAAGGTTGTTACTGATTATTCARCCTTTAATAAGGTCCAAACGGATCATTTAGGTTCTGTGTATTTGACTGTGGAAGGCTTTTTAAAGACCTTTCAGTGCCACAGCCTCTAAATGAGCTTCTGTTTAATGCTTTATACTAACAGTTATTTAACATCTGCTAATAAAGAAACTAATGAAGGAAATGTCTTCATCAGTTCAACAGCATAATGACTGCAGAACTTAAAGTTCTGGAGCAGGAAGGAGTTCAGAAACTCAGAGTTTATCAGTAAATCAGCTCTAAGCTGTCTTAGTGTTGAGTTAGCAGTGAGGGTAACAGTGCAGTAAAAAGGAACAACTAATGTGCTGAAGGTACGTGTTGATGAGCTCAGAGCTTCAGCTTCACTTCTTCACATTTTTATGAGAAATTACAAAGAGTCATTTTTATAAAAAGGTGAGTTGAACAGGTGAAATCTGTTCCAGGTTTCCTGCAGATCCTTAAAAAGTCTTAAAAAGTCTTAAATTTAATTTTAGTTGGCATTAAAAAGTCTTAAAAAGTCTTAAATGTAACTTGCTGTAAACTGCAGGAAGCCTGTGTTCAGTCAGTGCAGGTGTTTAACTTCCTGTTTGTCGTCTCAGGTGAAAGGCGGCATGGCGGCGTGTCGTCGGTGGGTCAGGGGGCGGAGCCTGTACTTCTCCAGACTGCTGACGAGCCGCGCCCGCTCTCGATACTTCTTCCTGGCGTACCTGCTGACGTTACATGTGGTTGTAGTCCTGTGCCTCACAGGTTCTGTGTAGAGGKTGGAAGGTTCTGTTTGTGGTGGGAGGTAGGACCAGTTAGGGTTCTGTTAGCTCGACCTGCTCCATGTTCTCCTGTCTGTCAGCTAACTGCTGCAAGGTGAGTCAGTGAGTTTCAATCATTTGAAGTTGATCATATCAAACAAGCCTTAAAATGTCTTTATTTATTTTCTAATCTTTGAACATGGAGACGTTGATCCTGTGATTTAAATGTTTTAGCTTTATTTTAAAAAGTCCACCTGATTGTGTAAAAGCCATGAACACTCCTGGTTCCACCTGTGTTGGTGTTCTGAGCAGAACTCACCTGTCTGAAGCCACAGGTTGCACATCAAACACTAAACTATGCACTGCTGGAGCTCTGAACACTACACCTGTCACTCTGCTCCCTTCAAGGTGTCTGTAGACCAACCTTACAGCTACGTTAGAAGAATAAAGACCTCCATCATTAACCTGAACAAACTGTATCTAAGAGTATTTATGTGCTTTAGGAGAGTTGGCTGTAAATGGTTTGTATATAAAAGGATTTCTACTCTCTCTGGTTAGATGACTGTACATTTCTTCTGATTGTTTAAAACTACAGAGTGTAAAAGGAAATATTGTGGCTTTATAAAGCTGATCATTCATCGAGCTGCTTTTTTACTTGACCCAGAATAATGAGTGTGAATCTGATGCTTCCTGGCTGATTAACAGCTCTGTTTAGAGGTAAAGCTGTATTTCTTTGCAGGAGGAACTGTTTCAAACGGTACTTGAAGAGTGGGGAAGCTGAAACTATTTATGGAAAAGATGAAATTACTGAAAAATGTTCAAACATATTTTCTCTACTGCTTTATTTTTAAAGMCACAGTGAGCCTGATGGTGTCCAGGTTTACCTTGGTGCAGTACCTGTGGTCCTTTCAGGTCTCTAACGTCTCAGAGAAATAAATTATGTTCAAATCTGCCTCACTTGAATTTTATTATTACAATTATTTGATTGGTGAGAATAAATTCTCTTCTGTTCTCCTGAAAGTTGTTTTATCACCTCTGAAGATCAACAGTAAACTGTGAAACTAGGATTTTGTGGAGGTTTCTGGGATTGTTGTGGTCTAAAATGATTTCTGTTTTCAGGAATCAAACTGAATAAAGGAGCTAAATGTTCAAACGTGAAGAGTTTGATCAAAGCTTCAGACATTAGATCAGTTAGAATCACCTGACAGCATCCTGGAAACCTGAACCCTGATCTGAACCTGAGCAGTGTTCTGTTACCGGACTTCAGTGCCAAACAGGGTGGTCCATAACGAACACCATGTTTGAGCAGGGTGGTCCATAAGTGCACTTGGTACCAGGCCACCTTAGGCCAAAGATCGATCGATTGTGTCGTCGGACCCACAGCTCTATGTGGTGGACACTCAGGTGAAGACAGGAGCAGAGCTGATCACCACCTGGTGGTGAGTTGGATCCAGTGGGGGGGGAGACCTGGTAAACAGTGCCTGTCGTGGTGACAAACAAAGGACCAGCAGGGATGTAGACCATCAGGCTGAAGAAGGAGGCCTTCAGGACTTGTCTTTCCYGGAGGACTCCTGGAGCAGCTGACAGGTACAGAGTGGTGAAGAGSGTTGCAGCTTCTGTGGTTGCAGATGCAAAAACTCAGCATTTGAGGAATTCGGGGAGAGCATGGAGAAAGACTTTCTGCTGACCTCGAGGAGGTTCTGGTAAACTGTTCAGARACTCAGAAAAGGAAAGAGTTCCCTGTCCCAGACTGTACTTGGTTAGGGTGGGGAGCTGCTGACCAGGACTGAGGACATCGTTGGGCGGTGGAAGGAACACTTTGAGGATCTCCTGAATCCACCCTCCATGTCCAGCTTTGAGGAGGCAGAGTCTGAAGACTAGTAGTTGTGGTCAGAAAGCTCCTTGGTGGCAGGAGCCAGGAGTGGAGGAGATTCACCCTGAGATGCTGAAGACTCTGGATGTTGTGGGGCTGCCATGGTTCACACGTCTCTTAAACATCATGGAGGACTGAGACGAGTCCTGTGGAGTGTCAGACCGGGGTGCTGGTTCCCAGTTTACAAAGAGTGGTCTAACTGTGGTGGATCACACTTCCTTCCCAGGAAAGTTAACTCCAGGGAGGCTCCGATCATCGAACCTCACATTCAAGAGGAGCAGTGTGGCTTCAGTCCTGGTCCTGGAACAGTGGATCAGATTTCAACAGCACACACACACACACACAGACACACAGACACACACACACACAGACACACAGACACACACACACACACCCCTCTAAGTCAAACAGGAGGTGAATGAACTTGTGTCCATACTTGTTCCATTGGAGGCTTGAACATGATACTGGGATTAAAGGAACCATAATCCCATAAAGTTCCTCAGGGTTCAGTACTTGGATCAAACAGTTTTACTTTATAAACAACCAGTTACTGAAACTACAAGCATGTCTTACAGACGTAAAAACATGGATGACTCTTAACTTCCTGCTTCTAAACTCAGATTAGACAGATTATGAGTTTTGGACCTGAACATCTCAACTTTRCAGCCTTTCACCTCCTCTGGGTGGCTTTAATGCTTCATTATATTTTACCTGCACAGTATCATATTTTATTTTTATTGCCATGTACTGTGTGTAGTTTATTTTTATTATTATTTCTATTTTATTACCATACTACTGTTGTTACTGGTGCGCAGCAACATATAGTTTTTGTGTACTGATGATGCTGCTGTGACCCCTGAGTTTCCTCTCAGCAGGACAATAAAGACTGTTTCTATTCTATTCTATCCTATTCTATTCTATTCTATTCTATTCAAAGGGAGTTTTTCTTGCCCACTGTCACATCGTTCTGCTCAGACTGATGAAGTGAAGGTTGAACTCAGCCTGCTGGCTTCTGTAGACATAACTTTTACTGTAAGTAAATATTTTACAGTCAGATGACTTATTGTGAGTTGGTGCTGAATAAATCAGCTGTTTTTATTTTCATGCATGGTGTAACGTCCACATGCAGCCACAGGAGGGCAGAGTTGGTTCATCTGTTTGGTGCAGCAGCAGAGTTTCAGTCTGACCTGACCTCAGTGTGAAGGAGGGTCAGAGGTTTTCCTGAATCATTTAATTATAATAATTAGGATTTGATCACTGATTTATTGTTTGTCTTTGAAGTGATGAATATTAATGAAGTTTAGTTTCTAAAGGCAGGATGTTGTGTGGAACAACACAGTAACACCAGAGGTGTTCCTCAGGGTTCTGTCTGTCTTCATTTGTTGATCAGATGATTGGTTTGCTTTGAGTCGTCACATTAGCTCAGTTTCCTGTCAGGTTCCTCTGGGATCAGATGATGGAGGACTCTAAGATYAGACTTGGTGTTTCTTCTTGATGTGAATGATTCAGGTTTAAAAAGCTGACCTGAACTTGGATGAAACAAGCAGCTCAGTTGTTCTCATAAAATCTGCATCGTTGCTCCAGCAGCTCTTTGAAAGCCGTCCTGCAGTTGTTGCTGACCCAGTTSTTTCAGCTGTGGAGGAGAAGAGGGCCGAGCTGAGAACATGTGATTAATGTGAAGCACCATGCAGTCTGAACATCCTCTGCTCCTCTGGACAAAAGGAACCGGTTCTCCTTCGAGCTGCAGGATCCAAAACCTACCCAGCTGGAGATGACTTCCTCTGAGCTTCACTCCAGTGTCTYCATGTCTGAGATATTTTGCTGACAGAACAGATTAATAACTGTCTCATCTCTTTAGGGTGAAATTAAAAAGAAAACTGGTTTGGTTTTAGATTTTTAAATATTTTTATTTAAACTGTTTAAATATGGATGTGATTTAATACTTTAAGTCATTAATATGTTTATTCAACATCTGACATAAAGATTAGTTTTTTTAATGTTTAATAAAAATAAAGAAGCTGCTTCAGTCTGAACCTTTATTTTTAGATTGTTTTCTGTTCAGTTTTGTTTGTTTGTTCAAATAAATTAACTCATAAATGTTGATGGTCTGAAACCTGAAGCTCAGTGATGATGATGAAGATGATGATGATGAAGATGATGAAGAAGAAGAAGATGATGATGATGATGATGATGATGAAGCCACAGCACAGCTCTGATCCTGTGAGGTTCTGATCGTCTCGTCCTTCATCACTCAGTGTTTGTGTTGTTTGGACCCAACAGAACTCCTCCTCTTTTAGCCCTTTGCTTTTTTCACTGTGGCCTAAAAAATGTCCCACTTTTCAAAGAGGTCAGCAGCTCCTCATGATAATGTAGCTGCTGCTGCTGTAGCTGCTGCTGTAGCTGCTGCTGTAGCTGTAGCTGCTGCTGCTGCTGCTGTAGCTGCTGCTGTAGCTGTAGCTGCTGCTGCTGCTGCTGTAGCTGC